CCCTTAGTTTCTAGCGGTGGTAGACAGCTGTCAGTGCAGATCTCCTCCGCTCCATCTTTCATTTTATAACAAGTGACTATTTTTTACGCTCAAGCCTCCATTCAAACACTGTATGACAGCAAAGATCAAACAAGTGCAGCGTATGTGACTGCACCTCATTCATAAACACATACCAAGTATCAATCTGGATGTGAGATGCGCAGTGATCAGATGGAGTAAATAATCGTTATTTATTGGCCTCGCTCCTCCCAGTCCTCTACGGTCTATGAGGGGCAATTTGGCTTGACAGATCATCAGATGAAGATGAAAAGTGCTTCTGTTTTATTTAGCAGCTCGCACATGAACATCCAGTGCATCCTACATCTTTGATAATGTTATGTACTGCAGTAGAATTTTTAAAAGCCACTGCTTTCCGCATAATGGAAGCGAGGCCTTCTCAGGTCGCAAGTCTACGGGGATGAGTGGAAAGCCGCGGTGGGTTTGAAAGGAAAGTAAATATACGCAAAGTGCTGGTTGCATATTGCGAAAGGCTAAATGACATAATTAGTGTCGATCTTTTGCCCAAATTCGCCCACCACGAATTAGCTGCGTTAGTGTAAACACTGAGCTTTGGACAGGCATGACAGGGTTTTGTTTTTGATTAATAGCATTTGATAACGAGTCTCGCTGTTTGACATGATTATTACATCAATGGTACGATTAGCATTTGTGTTAGAGTTCTGCTATGAACGCAGGAGCCTCTTTGACAGGTTTCAGTCGATGTGAAAATATTATCGCTTCAATACCTTTGAATGTTAAACCTTTCATTTTAATAAATGCCAAATGCATTCATTTAATTCTACTCTCACATTTATGTTCATTCTCTTTCTTTCTCTATTCCTCTCATTCTTTATTCTGTTTCTCTTGCTCTCGTTCCCTGTTCCCTTTGGCAAATAGTGACCAGGATGAATAAGTGACACTAGAAAATAGTCAGGAGAGAGTAGAGTAATTATGAGGTCATGGGGGTTTTATGCAGAACATGAAAAGCCCCTTGTAGAAATCAGGTCCAAAGGGTGGCAGAGGAAGAGAGGTGAGGCATGGAGATGAAAATACTGACCTCAGAAAGACAATTACACGGAACCAGTGTTGGGAGAGGTGCTCTTATCTGTTCAAGCAAATAAACTTCAGGTGAAACTACTATTTTTGTTTAACACATGAATTCACACATGAATTCACACAAAATTGCACCTCGTAGCATTATTACCTTTTCCTTTGTGAGATTAGGTTTGTGGCCTACTAATGTTATAGAAATAAAATGAACCTGCAAAATAACAACATTCTATTTTCTATGTATATGTAATGAGGGTTTTTACAAATATATTTAAATTTATTTTGCGACTGCGCTTGGCTCTGGAGAGACATTTTAAAGTCAGGTTTGTATTATTTACTGCTGAGGTAGCCTAAACAATTCGCATACTATCCGTCCTAAATAGTATTCGAAAATAGAATTAGTACGTCCCAAATCGTAGTATGTTGAAATGAGTGTTTCAAAGATACCCGGATGGTCTACTTTTTCCGGTCAGAATCCGAAGTGTAGATCGATGCACACTCTAACGGCTGATATTGCCCACAAACCATTGCGCGTTGGACGAGATTCGTTAGAACTACAAACACGAGTAAAAGTGTTAAAAAAACTACAGACACGTAGTCGATACGGAGGACGCACGAGTCCCCGCGGTTGTGTAGAGAGTTTAGATAAGAGCTTTGAGTGATTATTATCAGTATCTAACCCTGACAAAATGAATTTATTCAATTTGTAGCTACACATTATATTGCATTGCAGCGCATTGTGAACTTTTGTAAAAGACGTTTAGCCATTCGGTAAATTCATTATATTCAAATTGCAAACACACGAGGAGAGCATGAAAGAACAACTTTCAGATGGCCTTCCAAACGGTAGGAAAAAAATTAGATAGAACAGATTTTACTGTGACAGATGTTCAGGGAGTTTACGGTGACAGATGCAACGCAGCACGCGACGAGCTGTGTAAAGAGAGGTGATAGTATAAAGCTTGCCTACTCTTTGCTACACACTCAAAAGTTGTACTTTTTCCTCACAAAAAGAGTACATACTTTTAGGACGTAGTATAAGTAAGCGAATTGGGACGCAGCATTTGTCTTCAATCCTGCCCCTAAGGACCCTGGCAGCATTCGAAATCGCATCCCAGATAGCAAACTGACATTGAATCAACGTGGAAATATGACATTGAAACAACGTTGATCCGACATTGTTTTGCTCATCGAATTAACGTTGAACCAACGTCAGGCGCGTCATTCTTTCAAAACTAACGGAAAATCAACTTGAAATCAACGCGTTGTTTCAACGTTATGAAAGCAAACCAATTTTCGATTTTCATTTAGCTTTGAAGAATGCCGCGTCTGACGTTGGTTCAACGTTAATTCGATGAGCAAAATCAACGTTGTTTCAATGTCATGAGAGACGTCGTTTCCACGTTGATTCGATGTCAGTTTGCTGTCTGGGATACTTCCTTACTACATAGTAGGTGATCAACTGTAACTTATGTGATAAGATTAGTATGTTCGAATTCACAGTAGGCCTACACAATATAAAAGGGTATGGCTATGGTCACAAAATAAATAGGCTTACCTGCTCAAAAGAGATACCTATGAAACATTTTACCCAGCAAGCCTGTGATTTTTCAAACCTTCCTGTAGATTATATCTGCTTCAGGTGTGTTTGATTAGGGTTGAAGTTCAAATCTGCAGTGGGTAACCAGGAGCAGGATTGAAGACCAATGGCCCTGAACAACACCACTAGTTGGGTTTCCATCCAAATGTGAAGCAAATCTTTTCAATGTTTGCAAAAACCGCTAGTTGAGTTCTCATCAAGTTGTTAGAGTGGATAACGAACAGGGGTATAACCTACACAGCAAATCCCCAGAGTTAAATTAACTCTGCTCAGATAACATTTGGTCACTCTCTAGAGAGTTAAAATAACTCTGAGTTAAAGTTAATGAGATACTTAAGTGATTAATTAAGTGATTATTTGGCATTAATGATGAACACCTGCTGTCAACAAGCAGAATCACTGAAGGAAAGAGGAATAACAAGAACAGAAAAAAGAGAAAGAAAAGAACTAAAACTGATGAAATCAAATGAAGACAAAAGACATTAAGGCGATGTTTACACGGAAACGATTCTAAAGAGAAAACGCAAAAGTGGCGTTGCGTCATCTTTTTTATTCTGCGTTTAGACGAGCTTTTTGTGTGGGAAATCCGCGTGCAAATGGAGACACAAAAGTGTGTGAAATTCAATGTAGTATGCACTTCAGGCGGCACAACTTACAACTTGCACAACTTTCAGGAGGTTGACTTTCTGCTTGACTTTCACCGTCAATCAGACTTTTGCGTTTTTACCCGGGAACGTGGCGGTGGAGCGTTTTTAAGATTTCCACTCTGGAGGGTGGTTTCACTTTTTTGTGTTTTTGAGCCTCAAAAACGCCGTTGCCATGTAAACGAAAGGCACATCCGATAAAATATTTTTACATTTTCACCCGCGAGCGTTCTCGTGTAAACAGGGCCTTAATCTCTCGACATCTTAGAGGAGTATTAAACAACTTCACAAACAGCAATACCAGCTTCACTTATTATTAACCAGATTGACTTTATTTGTGTTATATACGTCTATTGAGAATTAACAGGTTTAAATGTTGACAATTTATTGAAAATGTTTGATCACCATTATGGTTGTTTGTTTAAAAACCTATTCATGTAATTAAAAATAATAATTTGATAGAGGTGGTACAGGATAAAGGTCCACCCTATTCCACAAGGATCCAAGATCCACCTACTTGAATTTATGTTATCGACATGGGTGATATCTCTTTAAACATATAATAATTGACATATTATTTAGATGCAATCAGAGCAGTATTTATCTGGCACAAAAGTAATAAGGGTGCCAATTAGACTGATAGCATTAAACGGCATGTGAACAGATAAATTTAACCAATAAAACTGAAAATGAGGCCACGCAAACTACACTTGTCGAACCAACATCCCTTTAAGGCAAGTCAGAACCTTATTGTCTTCTCAAGGACTAACTAATGTCCAGGGTTAAAAGAGGGGGCGTGGGTGGGTCAACGCCATCTGCTAGTGCAGGCCTATTCCAATATGAGTCGCAGATGATTACACCATGAAAAGTTAGGGAGAAAGGGACAGGTCAGATAACGTGCCACACAAGCACATAAATACTACAGTTTATTAATTAATCTCAAATTAATTAATCCAACCAATTAATCTAAAATTTTCATGTTGCAATCATAACTTCTGACAAATGTTTCTCTCGTAATATAATTTAACCTCACTTGAAAATAGCTAATAGTAATAGTAATCGCTTGCAAACAGCTTGCAAAGCTTGCAAATAGCTGACATCAATCTGACATTTGAAGCAATTAATGTGACAGAGGTGTAAGAGAAGACAATTTTTGAATGAGGCAATTAATCTAAAATCACATCCGCAGATATATCTTAACCTGAAAATGAAGAAGAAAAAAAAAAAAAAATAGAGCTGTCACACAGGTAGTAGTGTCAGACACACCTGGCCTGCAGGGTCATAGCAGGAGACAGATAGAGGGCGGAGAGGGTGAAATTAAACCCCATAAGGTTTTAGACGCAAGAACGAAACACCATTGCAGGATGCGAGCAGTGGAGAGACAGAGACTGGGAAGATTAAAGGAAGGGATGCATTTGTGATCAACAGTTGTCGAATAGAGAGGTATATAAAAAGGAGGGTGAAAGGAAAGAAAGTCTTACAGTAAAAATGCCGCACTCTAAATGAGATTTAAATCAGCTGATTTAAATTTAAGACAAACTCTGGGCCTTCCTCAGCCATTGAAGACTGATCCTGAGAGACAGACAGACACTTGGACTTACAGTCTGCAGTGACTAGACAAAGGTCAAACAATTGTCGGAAGGACATATACTTGGCAATCCGTCAGGATGATGCAGCAGATTCTTCAGGATATGTATATAGAGCCTGACCTGATGGCTGAACTCAATGAAGAGCAGAAGCAGATCCTCTTCTATAAGATTCGGGAGGAGCAGGTGCTGCGCTGGAATGAGAGGGAAGGAAGAGACACCAGCCAAGCTTTAAACAAGAAGAGTGAGTCCAGGGTCCATTTTGTACCTTTATTTCATCATGTCTATATGTTTCTTTTTAATAAACAGTGATTCTAAGTATTTTGACTTTTAAGCCACTTCTAAAAAATATATGATGTATGTCTTTGCATCTAATGATTACATAAATTATCAAACCAAGTGGCATTAATTAGGGAAAGATATCACAAGTATACTTTTCAAACCAAATATTAGAAAGGAAAATTATTTCTGAAAAAAGCTCTTGAACTATTTGATATTTTGAGACTTTGTTAGCTGTTATTATTTGTAACGCAAAATTCAGACCACATAAAAACAGTTCCACCGCAATATTTTATCGTTTACTTCAATTGCTTTCACATATCTCATAATATTTATGCTCACCAAGCATATCAATATACATGTATTGATATATATGCTCATCAATATATATGTATTTTTATACAGTATGTATTGCACATAGTGTCTCTTGTGGCCAGTTTAATGCATACTTGCTAAATAAAACTAATTAATTTCAGAAAACAATATCGATCATCATAAATTATCGTAATTGTTATTTCTTTACCCTGTAAAGTTTAGTTAAGAACTGTTTTACAAAGAAATAGAAAACTATTTATTTGTAGATTGTTCAAATGTGTTTTTGCTCCATTACCATCACCAAATTGCAAAAATAATGATAGTTTTAAAACAAAGGTTTTAGCACTTATCCATCTTCAGACAGCAAGACAGCACTGTGTTGAAAGCACAACAGAGTCATATAGTGTAAAATCAGTCTATAAATGGCTTACTTGGATTTTTACACATTAAAGGGGAATGGAGAAAGTACTGTAGGAATATATCTTTAAAAAATCAACTTTAAGGAAGTGGTGCAAATGAGCTGGATTAGGTTTACATCACGTAACAAGTGCATTGCATCAAAGGGCATCAAAGATTGTGTCTGTGACTTTTTTCAAAGGTTCCTCCATTATCTTGTTCAGTTGTCAAGTTCCCGCAGCATATAAAGGATCCCAGTAGGATAATGTCTTCGAGATTTGTCACACCATCCATGTCATTTTTCTTTATCTTATCTGAATTCGGTCTGATGGGTCTGGAAAGTGTGTTTCCTCAAGCTATCATTTCACTGTTTGCTGTGTGGTGTCTTTTCCCAGGCGATCACAGGGGCATTCAGTGGCTTCTGGGATCAGATGGAGAGGTATGGGTGTGGGTTATGGGGGAGGCCCCGGGGGACAAGCCCTTTGAAGACATTGTGGAACAGCTGATGGAGGAGAGAGCCAGGAAGCAGGCCCAGCGAGAGGCACAGGAACTCCGGTGAGAAAACCATTGGGACAAGGTCAAGGGATGGGTGCAGTGGGACACTGAGGGTGGATTGAGAAGGGGGGTGATAATGATAGAAGTACAGGGGGATAAGAAAGTGCATCACTCAAGCTCTGCTGAGTTTCCTGAGGCGTGTGAAGGAGGCAGAGATTGAAAAGAAGTTTCGAGATGCCATGGCGAAGGAGAAGGCTCGCTTCGTGGCAGAAAAATGGAAGGAGGAGACAGATGACAGAAAGGCAGCCAAGCAGGAAGAAGAGGAAGATCGCATTAGAGAGGAACTGAAGGTGGGTTTGGCTGGAATTTGTTCCTTCGGATAGATATGACTAAACCTCAGAGTATTTTATGCAACTTTAGAAAGGGGGACACAGTTCTAAACAAACCATTGAATAAAGCTTTATGCCTCGTGTCCTCGTAGATTTTAAAGACATAAATATAACTCCAATGTAACTCCAATATATAACTCTAATCTCTAGTTATCCATTATCTAATATATATATATAATATGCAAATGAGGTGGATTAGGTTTGCATCATTTAGCAATTGCATTGCATCAAAGGACATCAAAGATTGTGTCTGTGACTATTTTCAAAGTTTCCTCCATTATCTTGTTCAGTTGTCATGTTACCGCAGCATATAAAGGATCCAAGTAGGATAATCTCTTCCAGCTTTGTCGCGCCATCCGTGTTATTTTTTCTTTTTCTTATCTGAATTCGGTCTGATGGGTCTGGAAAGTGTGTTTCATCAAGCTATCGTTTCACTGTGTGCTATGTGGTGTCTTTTCCCAGGCGACCGCAGAGGCATTCAGTGGCTTCTGGGATCAGATGGAGAGGTATGGGAATGGGTTATTATGGGGGAGCTAATTTTAAAATTAAAATGCTCACGGCTGCACAAGCATTCATAACGGTGCCCGTCCATGGCAAGGAACGAGCAGAACAGAGGGAACATTTTTTAGTTCATTCCTACTTCCACAGAAATTAAAAACGCTCGCTCTACTGCGCACCATTATTGATGTCTTGTGTAGACGACGTCCTGTTTTACTTTCACTTTCGAGTTAGCGATTTAAAAGCCCCAGTGGTGTCACACGTTGATTAACCGGTGGAAAAATATTGCCATAGTCACATTTCCTAATATATTTATATATAAATACAACCGGCCTACCTGATTTGGAACACAAGAAGGCAGTAGGCCTATAGCACTATGCAACCATTCTGCAAGTGTGTTTGATTTATGGACCAAGTTTTTGGACCAAGTTAATTTAATTAAACTATTGTCAATGCACTACAAAAAAAAAAAAAACTGGTTCCATGCCTTTACTTTATAAATAAAAACATTTGTGTTCCTTTTTAATGCAGAAACAGCGAAACAATAAAACTAGCCCCCCTCTTCACAAACACACAAATACACAGACACGCACTCACACCGACACAGAGACAGAGAGAGGGGGAGAGAAAATGCTTTAAAAATCCACATTCAAACCAAAATATCTGACTTCCTGTTGAACGGAGCTAATGACTGTAAATTGGAAAGTTGTTTGGCTTGAGGAGTTCAATACGTACCAAGTTTTGTTATTGTAGATGCGGCCAGGTTCTGCTATTTCATAACACTGTGTCTAGACTGGCCAAAGAAACTAGAACCCATTATAATCAGTGATACAACACTGGGTGCGACACTATGCTACACGACACAACAAAACCCAGACAGTAAACTGATGCCTCACTCTATTTCTGACGTACTCCGAGCTCTTGCACTACTTCTGTTATGAAGGACAAATGGACTTGCAATGGTCTGTCATGTCCAGTGTAGACAGCTGTAATGGTCTCGTCCAGTTTAAACACTGTGTAACAGCGACAGTATTTCAAATTCTGGTGTGCTGAAATTTGTGTGCAGCCCATCTTACCCATCTTTCAAACACTCACTGCATGTGCAACTGCCCCACAGGCCTTTAGTGGGGATGACAACCCATAACCATAATGACATATTACTTAAAGGGTTCGTTCACCCAAAAATGAATGAAAAATTATGTCATTAATGACTCGCCCTCATGTCGTTCTAAGCCCGTAAGACCTCCGTTCATCTTCGGAACACAGTTTAAGATATTTTAGATTTAGTCCGAGAGTTTTCTGTCCCTCCTTTGAAAATGTATGTACAATATACACTGTCCTTGTTCAGAAAGGAAATAAAGACATCATCAAAGTAGTCCATGCGACATCAGTGGGTTAGTTAGAATTATTTGACGCATCGAAAATATATGTTGGTCCAAAAACAACAAAAACTATGACTTTATTCAGCATTGTATTCTTTTCAGGTTCTGTTGTCCATCCGCTACAGTGACGCTGATGACGTAAGACGCTGTGCATGGTTATTTTGAAAAACGGAGACTGGGACCCCCCCCCAAAAAATAGCATAACAATCCTGATCTCAACGGCTCAGTTGTGACAAAAGATCCAATAGTTAAGGGTCCTTGCATTTATTCTTCAACCAGGCCTTTAATTATGATCTTACAATAGAGACTGAGGTTAATTAGGCTTAATTGCTGTGTGTTCCATGTTCTGAGAATGAATTATTTAAAAGTTGGCAACCTCTCAGAATGCAGATAGTGATCTCTGAGACACATGGCCAACATTTGTTCGCCTGATCTATAATAGAGTTGAAAGCACTGATGTTTGGGTTAATGACATTGTCCACCGAATTAATCATTCATATCCCCAGCATAATGGCACCGAAAACGAAAAGCATGGGCTGATTCTTTCTCCTTTTCTCATAGAAATATGAGGAGGAAGAGAGACAGCGTGGCGAGGAAGAAATCCGCCAAACTGAGGAGAGGAGAGCAAAGGAGCTGTACATCTCTCTGAAGCAGGAGGAAAAGAGGAGTGAGAGAGATGACAAAGAATGGCAAGAACAATGTGAGAGAACAAATGGAATGGGAAAGAAAATTGGAACGAAAAAGGGAACTTTGGCTGCTCTAATATAAAGTAGCTTATTTCTATTCAAATTTCTCTCCACTTCCCACAGTGCAATGCTCTAAGGCAGCGTATGAGGAGATGAAGTGCAAGGCACGACGGGCAAGAGATGATTAGCGCCAGAGATGGCAAGAGATGATTAGCGCCAGTCTCTGTGGGCTACAGAGAAGGGCCTGGTGGCTGGACTCACCATCCTGTTCCATAAGATGCACCCGAACGGATCAGGTCACCACCGACAGCACGGCTCGGTCATCGGACATACGACCCCTCCAGCTGAGGCCAGCCATTCACCCGCAACAAGTGCTAGCCAACTCGCTTCAGGCCATTACAGGCGCAGACAACACCGTCATTACAGCAATCCAGTCACACAGTCACTCACTGAATGGTAAAATCAATAATCAAATCAATGATAATTGATCCCAACCATACCTTATGCATTTGTGTTGAGTGTGATATTGTTTTTATTGTTTATAGACAAAACACACCACTCTCATACTCTTTTTGTTTCACTTAAAGCTGCAGTCTATAGCTTTTTGGGGGTTATTAATTATCCAATATATATATATATATGAGAAAATACATAACCAGCCAGTGTCCCACACAATCTGCTTGCCGTAGCTTGATTCAAAACGGTAAGCTTGTTATGTTTTTAATTCCCGTGGCACTGAAGGATTTCTAAAATAAATGTAAATGAACAATTTTCGACACATTTACAATCCTGTGAGAACACCTCCCGTGCCCCTGTCCACAGTCCTCTCCTATGACAGAACGTTTCGTCGGCCATCCGTCCCTTTGCAGAAGCGCGTCGGGGGTTTCTCTCGTCATGAAACCGCAGAGACGTTGCCTAATGCCTCAGAAAATCCGATCTGCCTGTTTACATGACAGTCGCATTGGCACATATCCGATTTATTTCCACATATGAATGAGGCCTCAAACCTATCTGGAAATATCCAAATGCATGCGTTTTTTTACTTTTTTTACACTGTCATAGAACAAATACGATCTGTGTCACATATGAGCAAAAAATCGGAATTGGGTCACATTTCACTGACAGTGTAAACGAGGCCAAAGATACATATTGGAAGGACATTACATGTAGTCACGCAAATCTTATGTTGTTAACATTATCACTTTGAGAACAAAGCATAATTTGTACAGTTTTGCGTGATAAGTCATATTTAGATTTAAGCAGTGAAATTTACTGCAATGTCAGAACCACCAGAACAAAGGTGGATGTTGCTTTCTACTTCAGATGACATTCACATCGGCGCGGTGACTGACAGCCTGACTGTCTCCTCAAACATTGTGTCCATTGTGTGCCGTGTTGAGAGTGTTGAAGTACAACAGTATTTTTTGGGGGGTCGAAATTTTAAGTTTCTCCAACTTTCTTGAAACTCTAGACCCTTCCAGAGCTGAGATATTGAGATCCCACGTAGCATTTATGCATTATGAATATCTCAATATCTCAGCTCTGGAAGGGTCTAGAGCCTCCATTTTTGCACTCAGTATCCCCAATCTTCTTGAAACTCTGGATTCTGATAGAGGGCCATGAGACTTAGACCTGAGTGCAAAAATGGAGGCTTTAGACCCTTCCAGAGCTGAGATATCGAAAATCAAAATTTCGACCAGAAAAAAAAAACGACAGTGTTACCCCTTACGTTTTTTTTTTTTGGGGGGGGGCAAAAATTAAGTATCCCCAATCTTCTCAAAACTCTGGATTCTGATAGAGGGCCATGAGACTTAGACCTGATTGCAAAAATGGAGGCTCTAGACCCTTCCAGAGCTGAGATATCGAAAATCAAAGTTTCGACCAGAAAAAAAAAACGACAGTGTTACCCCTTACGTTTTTTTTGGGGGGGGGGCGAAAATTAAGTTATCGCCAATCTTCTTGAAAACTCTGGATTCTGATAGAGGGCCATGAGACTTAGACCTGAGTGAAAAAATGGAGGCTCTACACCCTTCCAGAGCTGAGATATCAGAACTCAAAATTTCGACCGAAAAAAAAAACGACAGTGTTACCCCTTACGTTTTTTTTTTTGGGCGAAAAATTAAGTATCCCCAATCTTCTCAAAACTCTGGATTCTGATAGAGGGCCATGAGACTTAGACCTGAGTGCAAAAATGGAGGCTCTAGACCCTTCCAGAGCTGAGATATCGAAATCAAAATTTCGACCAGAAAAAAAACGACAGTGTTACCCCTTACGTTTTTTTGGGGGGCGAAAAATTAAGTATCCCCAATCTTCTTGAAACTCTGGATTCTGATAGAGGGCCATGAGACTTAGACCTGAGTGCAAAAATGGAGGCTCTAGACCCTTCCAGAGCTGAGATATCGAAACTCAAAATTTTGACCAGAAAAAAAAACGACAGTGTTACCCCTTACGTTTTTTTTTTTTGGGCGAAAAATTAAGTTTCCCCAATCTTTTCAAAACTCTGGATTCTGATAGAGGGCCATGAGACTTAGACCTGAGTGCAAAAATGGAGGCTCTAGACCCTTCCAGAGCTGAGATATCGAAAATCAAAATTTGACAGAAAAAAAAACGACAGTGTTACCCCTTACGTTTTTTTTTTTTGGGGGCGAAAATTAAGTTTCCCAATCTTCTAAACTCTGGATTCTGATAGAGGGCCATGAGACTTAGACCTGAGTGCAAAAATGGAGGCTCTAGACCCTTCCAGAGCTGAGATATCGAAAATCAAAATTTCGACCAGAAAAAAAACGACAGTGTTACCCCTTACGTTTTTTTTTGGGGGCGAAAAATTAAGTTTCCCAATCTTCTCAAAACTCTGGATTCTGATAGAGGGCCATGAGACTTAGACCTGAGTGCAAAAATGGAGGCTCTAGACCCTTCCAGAGCTGAGATATCGAAAACTCAAAATTTCGACCAGAAAAAAACGACAGTGTTACCCCTTACGTTTTTTTTTTTGGGGCGAAAAATTAAGTTTCCCCAATCTTCTCAAAACTCTGGATTCTGATAGAGGGCCATGAGACTTAGACCTGAGTGCAAAAATGGAGGCTCTAGACCCTTCCAGAGCTGAGAGATATCGAAAATCAAAATTTCGACCCCCAAAAAAAACGACAGTGTTACCCCTTACGTTTTTTTTGGGGGGCGAAAAATTAAGTATCCCCAATCTTCTCAAAACTCTGGATTCTGATAGAGGGCCATGAGACTTAGACCTGAGTGCAAAAATGGAGGCTCTAGACCCTTCCAGAGCTGAGATATCGAAAATCAAAATTTCGACCAGAAAAAAAAAACGACAGTGTTACCCCTTACGTTTTTTTTTTTGGGCGAAAAATTAAGTTTCCCCAATCTTCTCAAAACTCTGGATTCTGATAGAGGGCCATGAGACTTAGACCTGAGTGCAAAAATGGAGGCTCTAGACCCTTCCAGAGCTGAGATATCGAAATCAAAATTTCGACCAGAAAAAAAACGACAGTGTTACCCTTACGTTTTTTTTTGGGGGGCGAAAAATTAAGTTTCCCCAATCTTCTTGAAACTCTGGATTCTGATAGAGGGCCATGAGACTTAGACCTGAGTGCAAAAATGGAGGCTCTAGACCCTTCCAGAGCTGAGATATCGAAACTCAAAATTTCGACCAGAAAAAAAAAACGACAGTGTTACCCCTTACGTTTTTTTTTGGGGCGAAAAAATTAAGTATCCCCAATCTTCTCAAAACTCTGGATTCTGATAGAGGGCCATGAGACTTAGACCTGAGTGCAAAAATGGAGGCTCTAGACCCTTCCAGAGCTGAGATATCGAAATCAAAATTTCGACCAGAAAAAAAAACGACAGTGTTACCCCTTACGTTTTTTTTTTTGGGCGAAAAATTAAGTTTCCCAATCTTCTCAAAACTCTGGATTCTGATAGAGGGCCATGAGACTTAGACCTGAGTGCAAAAATGGAGGCTCTAGACCCTTCCAGAGCTGAGATATCGAAACTCAAAATTTCGACCAGAAAAAAAAACGACAGTGTTACCCCTTACGTTTTTTTTTGGGGGGGCGAAAATTAAGTTTCCCCAATCTTCTCAAAACTCTGGATTCTGATAGAGGGCCATGAGACTTAGACCTGAGTGCAAAAATGGAGGCTCTAGACCCTTCCAGAGCTGAGATATCGAAACTCAAAATTTCGACCAAAAAAAAACGACAGTGTTACCCCTTACGTTTTTTTTTTTTGGGGCGAAAAATTAAGTATCCCAATCTTCTTGAAACTCTGGATTCTGATAGAGGGCCATGAGACTTAGACCTGAGTGCAAAAATGGAGGCTCTAGACCCTTCCAGAGCTGAGATATCGAAACTCAAAATTTTGACCCGAAAAAAAAACGACAGTGTTACCCCTTACGTTTTTTTTTTTGGGCGAAAAATTAAGTTTCCCCAATCTTCTCAAAACTCTGGATTCTGATAGAGGGCCATGAGACTTAGACCTGAGTGCAAAAATGGAGGCTCTAGACCCTTCCAGAGCTGAGATATCGAAACTCAAAATTTCGACCCGAAAAAAAAAAACGACAGTGGTACCCCTTACGTTTTTTTTTTTTGGGGCGAAAAAATTAAGTTTCCCCAATCTTCCCAAATTCTGATAGAGGGCCATGAGACTTAGACCTGAGTGCAAAAATGGAGGCTCTAGCCCCTTCCAGAGCTGAGATATCGAAACTCAAAAATTCGGCCCGAAAAAAAACGACAGTGGTACCCCTTACGTTTTTTTTTTTTGGGCGAAAAATTAAGTTTCTCCAATCTTCCCAAATTCTGATAGAGGGCCATGAGACTTAGACCTGAGTGCAAAAATGGAGGCTCTAGCCCCTTCCAGAGCTGAGATATCGAAACTCAAAAATTCGGCCCGAAAAAAAAAAACGACAGTGGTACCCCTTACGTTTTTTTTGGGGGCGAAAAATTAAGTTTCTCCAATCTTCCTCTAAATTCTGATAGAGGGCCATGAGACTTAGACCTGAGTGCAAAAATGGAGGCTCTAGCCCCTTCCAGAGCTGAGATATCGAAACTCAAAAATTCGGCCCGAAAAAAAAACGACAGTGGTACCCCTTACGTTTTTTTTTTTGGGCGAAAAATTAAGTTTCTCCAATCTTCCCAAATTCTGATAGAGGGCCATGAGACTTAGACCTGAGTGCAAAAATGGAGGCTCTAGCCCTTCCAGAGCTGAGATATCGAAACTCAAAAATTCGGCCCGAAAAAAAAACGACAGTGGTACCCCTTACGTTTTTTTTTTGGGCGAAAATTAAGTTTCTCCAATCTTCCCAAATTCTGATAGAGGGCCATGAGACTTAGACCTGAGTGCAAAAATGGAGGCTCTAGCCCCTTCCAGAGCTGAGATATCGAAACTCAAAAATTCGGCCCGAAAAAAAAAAAACGACAGTGGTACCCCTTACGTTTTTTTTTTTGGGC